AGGCAGGGAAAAGAGTGCATGGATGACAGTCAGTGGTGCCAGGGAGCAGCAGCCCCTCTTGGCTGGCTACACCAGTGCCCAACCTCAGTGCCTGGAAAAGCCAAATATTACGTCCCCAGCCTCCCTTGAAGCCAGAGGTGGCCATGGGACACAGCTCTAGCCAGAGACTTAAGTGGAAGTCTGCTTTTGCTTTCTTGATTAAAAAAAAAAAAAAAAAAGACCATTGCGACTGATGCCAGCAGTCTCCCCCAGCCCTTCTTCCTGCCTCGCGCATAGTCATGAAGCCTGGACCTGTGGCAGCCATCTTGTGACCATGAGGCAACAAGCATAGGATGAAAGCCAACTTGCCCAGGACGGTGAAGCAGAAAGATAGGAAGTCTGGGCTCCTGATGGTGCCACTGAGCAGTAGAATGGATTTCTAACTAAATACCTAGGGACACAGTGAGTGACAAGAGACAGAATGATAGCAAGAGTGGAGGAGACAGAAATGAAATGCGGGTCTTCAGTTTGGGCAAATGGGTGATGGTGACACCCTTCACCAAGAAATGGCCTGAGGAAGAGGCCAAGCTTGGACAGGCTGAATTTGGTGTGGAATATCAGGGCGAGAAGCCAAGCAGATCTGGGGCTAAGAGGCGAAGTCTGCTAGGAGATCTGGGAAGACCCTCGCATAGAGGTGGACGTGAGCTCCCCAAGACTGTATGTAAAGTGAAACAGAGAGAGCCCGGGCTGGCACCCGCAGGACGCCCTCTGCCCAGTCCTCGTGTGCTCTGCAGACCTGGCTTTCTGTGCGGTGGGGGAACCAGGTGAATAATGCTTTCTTCTAAATGGGAAGCCAATTAAGTTAATTGACCTGCCAGAGCCAAGTGAGTGGGTGGATGCTGGGTGCTTAGGGCCAGGCAAGGCTGTGAGATCGTCATGGGGAGGAGCCTGAGAGCAGCCCCCTGAGGAAACAGGACCTGGGCTACAGGCAGAGGTCACTGGTTGCTACCCAGTAACCTGTCCCTTTGACTCTTTGCTTACAGAGCTCTCATTCCATCACAGACAGCAACCGCCCAGACTAAAACACTCTATTTCTCAGTCTCCCTTATAGCTAGGAGTGACCAATGAAATGTGAGATGCTATTGGGTGGGACTACCTGGAAGTTGTATAAAGGTGGGTGCGAGGAGATAGCTGGGATGTATGTACCATGTCTGATCTGCCACCCTTCTTCTACTTCCTATCTGGAATGAGATGTGATGGAGGAAGCTCCGGCAGCCATTAGGTTCATGAGGGGCCCTTGAGGCAAGAAGCCAACACTGTGGGACCACCATACCAGCCCCAGACCACCCGTTTCCAGATTTCTTTTACACAAGAGAAAAAACTATTATAATCTGTTGAAGCTACTGCTTTGATTTTCATTAGGATTTTTTTTGGAGGGGCTCTGTGACTTGCAGCTGAGTGTAATCCTAGCTAACAGGATAAAACTTGATGGATGGGTTGATCTCACTGAGGGCTTCCTCTGTGCAGCCAATGGGCAAGGGGCCTTATGTGCTGGGTCTCACAGAATTCCTACCCCAACCCTACAGGGTGGGTTCTCTTGTTCTCCCCATTCTTTAGTATACTGAAGAAACTGAGACAAAGACAAGAAAAATTACCTGCCCAAAGTCACAGTCGTGACTGGACCATGTCCACCAAATTCCAAAGCCCCTGTTTGTGAAGCCAACACAGGGGCAGGAAGGAGCCCAGACATGTGTGAGAGGGTGGGAGGAGTGGCCTGGCCTGGCACTGAGGCTGTGGAGAGGGGAGCAGACAGCCAAGGCCACAGTGGGATGGGCGACAGGATGGGCACGAAGGGCCAGATGTGGTCCTGTGGCCAGTGGGAGCCCAGGGAAGTCTGTGGACAGGGGGGAGACACTACTCTAACTTGTGGAGCCCACACGGAGTGTTCCTGTGAGTGGGAGAGTCTAGGAGTAGGCTGCCCACCTGACCTGCTCAGTACTGGGCCTCAGGCTTTAGTCCACATCGGGGTCACCTGGGGGCTTGACGCAAGTGCAGAATGCTGAGCCCACCCCCGCCTGACCCACAGGGCTGGTGACATCTGAGGGCCTGCCTGCCCACCATTCTTCCCCCTTTTCTAACAGGAACCCCTGTGCCCCTGCTCTTGTCTGCATAGCGGATGGGCATGTGGCCCCAGCATGGCCTGTCACTGGGGTTGGTTCAGGGAGGAATCTGTGACCAAAGCCTGGCCGACGAGCATCAGCCCCGGGCCTTCTGCTGGAACATTAGGGACGAGGCATCTTCTTTCCACAACTAAGTAGAAAGTTTGGGAATTGCGAGGCTGGTCAGGTCATTGTAAGCAGTTGCAAATATTTATCATGTGCTGACTAAATGCCAGTTTCACTGTTCCTAAGGCCACTACATATGCCACCATCAAGCCTCACGACAACCCCGTTAAGAAGGTACAGATGAGAAAACAGAAGCACTGAGCCGTGACGCAGCTTCCCCAGGGCTGCAAAGCTAGACAGTGGCAGGATGAGGACTTCAATCGCCTCCTTTCTCCGCCACCTCCCCATGAGCCTAGAGCTTCCAGAGGCCACCGCTGCTTGAGAATGCAGGAAGCCAAAGTAAAGGAGAAAAGACACGGAGAGAGCAACAGTTCTGGTGAGATCTTCTGAGGCCCCTGGACTCAGCTGTGCCTAAAAATAGGGCCATCTGGACTTGCAGTTACTTGAGTCAATAAATGCCCTCTTTGTTGAGACTGTTTTGACACTGGGTCTCCGTTCGCCGATACTAACAGCGCGGAGGGTCACAGCACATTTGACATGGGCACTCTGGGAAACATCAAGTCACCCTGTTTCTCAGGACTGTGAGCTCCCGAGAGGAAGGGCCCGCAGATCTCCTGCCTGCCATCTCCCAGCACAGCTAAGCCCTCAGCCCGGCACACAGTAGGCGTTTTAGTGATCAGGTCCATCCTTCCGCCCCTGGGCAAGATCCTTCCTACAGTCTCCCCACAGAGCTCCAAGAGAACCCAAAAAACTCTAAGGACCCCAAGACAAAAGATCTCCATTCCACTCTCTCCTCCTTGGGAGCTGTCTTTTGGCCCACATGCAGGTAGGGGGACCTCAGGTGATTCTCAGCCCCCCTCCCCAGCCCATCCCCACGCACCTGCCGCTGGGACTCATAGAGGATACGGTCCATGGTGTTGAGCAGCGTCATGCTCTTGTAGAACTTGAGCACCTTCTCCTGTGGCAGCTGCAGATGGAGGCATACAGAGACGTGGGGCCATTGGGACCACAGAGGAGATAAGCAAAGGGCCTGGGCGTGGGAGGCAGGGGGTGGGGGAGGCAGCCTCTCACGTGGGGGTCCTCGCTGGGGTTGATGATCTGGCCCTGCCGGTCCATGACGCGGTAGATGGGGATCCCAGAGATGACATTGGGCTGGATGAATTCTAGCTTGTCTATGAACTCCGCTGAGGCCCCTGGGAACTGAGGCTTGTCGTCCAGGGACGAGAAGTGCTGCTGCTGCTGCTGCCGCTGGGGCTGCTGGGGAGAAAGGGCGGGGGGACACCTGAGTCAGGTGCAGCACCGAGGCTCCACTGGCTCAACCCCATGGCGACAGGTGGTATGGCCTGGTGGTCAAGCCGCCGTGGCCCCAGTGGACTCTGGGACCTGACGCACAGGGTGTGAATCCCAGCTCCACAACTTTCCCTTGAGCAAGTTACTAGAACTTCTTTGTGTCTCAGTCCCTCATCTGTAAAACTGCGCTGAAAATAATATCCTACAGTGTTGTTGTAAAGGTTAAATGACTCAATAAAGTGGCAGGCCGCTCAAGAACTGGCAGCTATTATTATTAGCAGAGGCCCAAATTCGTTGCCCCAGCATTCAAGGCCTCCCCAGTCTGGCCACCGAGACCCCCTCTCTCAATCTCCCACCAGTACCACAGGCACAGACACCCCTGCATGGCGCCCTTGAGTCAGCCAGATGGGCTTTTTACTGACCCCTGCACCCCTCAGGGAGGCCACCCAGAATAGAGCTTAAGCCGGTGAGCTCTTAAGAGTCAGCCTGCCTGGGTTCAAATCTCTTGCAGGGTGACCATGGGACAGCAACTTGCCTTCTTCAGTCTCTCCTTTCTCACCTGTAAAATGGAGACCACCTTACGGAAATGTTTCGAGGCTCAAATGAGATGTTGCGTATAAAATATTAGCCAAGGACTGTCATATAGTAAATGCTCAAAAAAAATGTTATCATTTCTACCAAGTATCTCTGCTGCCATCTCTTTACTACCTCTTTCCCCATCACGTGGCAAACTGCTCCACACGCTTCAGTGCCCTCTCCACGCCAGTCCTAACTCCCTCCACAACCCCAGCCTGACTCATTCAACAAATATTTGAGCACCTGCTTCATTCCAAGCCCTGTACTCGGTTATGGGGGCCTCAGGGACACATGACATCTGTCCCCGCTGCCCGGCATGGAGGCCAGATGCTGAACAAGTACTGATGAGGGTGAGTCATCGTCTCCTGGGAGAGGCCATGGGGCTCTGTAAGGCAGAGGGTCAGGCTTATCTGAGGAAGTGACATGAGAGCTGAGATTGAAGGATATCTAGAGGTTAGGGAAAGAGGATTCAAGCCAGGGGAACAGAACGTGCAAAAGGCAAAATGTGAGGAATGGCATGTCCCTTGTGGAACCTAGACGGAGCTCAGAGTGGCTGGAGGAGTCCTGTGGGGAGTATCGCACCTGCTGGGATCAGAGGAGGCCTGGCTGGGAAAGCCCGTGAGAAGCCTCCATGTGTGACAGGGTGTCAATCAATTCTATTTCTTAGCTCTTGAGCTAACCTTGAACTGGTCTCAGTATTGCAACAGCTCCCCTTGATTAAGCATTTGCTGGGTGCCAGGCTGAGCTCTGCATGCACAGTCTTACTGTTGCCCTTGAGTAGATGAGAAAACTATGGTTCAGGGAGGTAAAATAACCAGCACTGGCCATGGAGCGAACAAGTTAAATAAATCAATCAGAACTGGGCTTTAAACCCAGGCAGGGCTGACATTCAGACCCCAGAACCCATGCTCCTAACCCAACTGCCATCGCTAGCCTGCTTTCCATGCATCTACATCTTTACTTCCCGCTGGTCTCCAGGTTCTTCTTAGCTCAGAAATGGTGGCTTCAATTTCAGCAGGAGCTAAAGAATGAATGGGTTTGCCATGAGCTGGATCTCCACACATGGGTGTTGAAATGTGTTCCTCTCTCTCTCTCTCTCTCTCTCTCCTTTAATTGCAGCAAAGATGCCGTCCAAGGTTCCAGGGGGGAGCATGAACACGTGTGCGTTTATCTGCAGTTGTGGTTGTGAGGAAATAAAGGAAATTACACTCCCAACAGCAGGGCAGGTCTGGGCCTGACAACATCATGGCAGGCTTCTCCTCCTCCGCTTGCTAGGGAAGCAGCCGAACTCCGCAGACCATGCCTCCCCCTCTCAGCACTCACACGGCTGGCCCTTTCTATCCACCCAGGACATCCTTTTGTAGTGTGCCTGTCTCCCACACACATCACAAACTCCAGGAAGGCAGGGATCACGTCCAGGTTGGTTACAGAGTGGACACTCAACAGGCAATTACTGAACAAACAGACGAATGAGCGGTTCCATTCATTGGCTTTGGAGTCCCACTGACCTGGGTTCTAATTTCTTAGCTCACTGTGTGGCCCTCTGCAAAACACCTTGTCTCTTTGAATTTCCTCATCTGTACAAAGGCTGCAGAGGGCTACTGAGAAAAGTCCCTAAGGTAAGGCACACAAAGGGCTCAGCACAGGTATGGGACAGACTACTCATATGTGCTCAAAAATCGCTAGACGGGAAAAAACAAAATCTAGGAAGGTTAGGAAATGGGAAAAAGAAAAATGATTGGCACCTCAGGAGCAAGATGGGGAAAAGAGGAGTTGAGGAGAACTGGCTGCACCTCAAACTGAATTGTAATGTCAGGCCGTTGTCCCAGCACAAACTCCAGAGACTGAGGCACACGGGAGATGCACGTGGAGCAAAGGCTGTGGCCAGGGGTCAGGAGGACAGGGGCTCAGGGCTCAGAACAAGCCAGCCTGTCAGGACAGGGCTCTGCCTCCAGAGGCTGGAGACCTACCGTCAGGGCACCTTGGTGCACCGCACACATTGGAGTTGGGCCTTGGCTGTGCCCCTTCTGTCTTGGGCCACCCCAGGGTTACTATGCTGATTCAGTGAGCTCCGCAAAGGGCTTGGCAGTGCCTGGCCCTGAGGATATGCCCCACGATGGAGAGGGTGGTAAAACGCCAGCAGAGGAAGAATGTGGCTCAACCCACTTTTACTTCTGTTTTTGGTGAGAGGGTGGGTGTCTCGGTGGCCAGTGACTTACAATGGCAGAGGCTACACAGCTTTACACAAAGTCTTGAAACTACATCCTCCGCCACCGCACAGGAAACAGGGAGGCCTGCTCTGGATGGTCTGCTCTGCCCAGCACGTCAATATCAGGTGGCCCCTTGTGGAGCTACTCCCTACAGCACCAAGGACTCCCAGCAGACTCCTGCCCCCTGGCTGTGTAACTAAAGCTCCCTGAGCCTCAGTCCCCGCAAGTATAAACAGAGGACGGACGGTATGAGTACCTATCTCACGGGTGGTCATGAGGATTAACGAGTTGATGTGTGTAGGGTGCTTAGACCAGTGGCTGGCACAGAAGAAATGCTCAGTAAATTTCTGAGTAAATTGCTGACTAGCAGATTTAACAGCTGTTATAAAATAGGTAGATAATGAACACTTGCTCCAAGTCAGGCCCTGAACTGAGAGCTGGAGACGACGGGGAGGGATGAATGACAAACACTGAACACACAAGTTATGATCAAGAGGGGCGATTTCAGAGGAGGCAGGATAGTTGAGTGGTTAATCGTAGGGCAGGGGCGGGTGAGAGACTCTAGAACTAAACTGCGTGTTTGAATCCTGGCTCTGTCCCTTTCCAGCTATGTCACCTTGGGTAGGAGACAGTCTCCCTGAGCCTGTGTCCCCTTGTGGAAAAAATAAGAACGGCTACTTCACAGGCTTGTGGTGAGGTGGGTATAAAGCACCTGCCTGGCATAGCTCTAGGAACTTTTCACTACATCAGATGGAGCAGGAGGAAAAGTTTCCTGGAGAAGGAAGCGTGAAGAAGCCGAGGGCTGCTGGACAAGCAGGGGTAAGCCAGGCAAAGGCTGGGGAACAACGCTTCAGTGCCTGGGAATGACAAAGGCTCTGAGGCAAGAGAGCCCGGCACCCTGGAGACCAGTACGGCTGCAGCACGTTAGTAACAACAGCTAACCATGAGTCTGGGTGCCACCCAATGCACTTTCTTTTTGCCTGTGTGCTCACTGTCCCTGCACAGCAGTCAAGTGAAGTGGATACTATTATCACACCTCCGTAAAACAGAGGTGGCCTCGAGGCCAACTCTAAGGGGTTAAGTGACTTGTCCAAGGTCACAAAGATCATGAGTGGTGGCGTAAGCATATGAAGCCAGGCAGCCTGACCACTACTCTCTGGGGAGGCTGGAGAGGAAGGCGGGATTCAGCCATGGAAGGATTTGTGGATTTGTGGATGGTACCAATGAACCGAGTCCTTTAGACAGGGAAGGCCACCCTAACTCCCTCCCTCCTGGGGCCTGAGGCACTGTGCCCTCAAACAACCCCAAGAGCTGAGTCCTGGCTTTGCTTCGAGCTCAGAAATATCAGTGGCCTCATCTCCTGGAAGGTCTGGTTAGGGAGCGAGTTAAGTATGATTAATCAGGTTTTCTCTGGCCTCAGGGACCGGGGGTTTGAGCAACACTATGCTCCCCCAGGCACTGGAGGTGTGGAGCCCCGAGGGAGGCCATCCTTTCCCGGCATCAGTCATGGCCACCCCAGATTTATAAAACAGCAGAGCAGCCATTTCTCAAGACCTTACTGAGCACATGGTATATCTGGTAAGTGCTTCGTAAGAACCATTTCCTTTCACCCTCACCATATTTCTGAGCGGGGGTACTACTGTGCTCCGTGTTTTACAGATGGGGACTGGCGTTGGGGTCGGGAAAGCGTCTCTGAAGTGGCTTGTCAGCAGATGTCTAAAGGACCATATCCCTACAAAGGCCTCTGGGTAGGAGAGGCTCATCCAAGGAAGGGAAAACGGCCAGTGAGGCTGAGGGAAGGGAGGGAGGGGCTGAGGCCAGCCCTGCCACCCAGCTTCCTACCAGCTGGCCTGGGCAGAGGCTGGCGATTAACACCAAGACTGTGTTAAGCAGGATGTCGCAAGACCTGAACCAAAGCTTCTGTCACTTCTCCTGGCAGCCTGGTATTATGAAAAGAAACGGGGCTTTGGAGTCCAGAGCTCCAAGTTCAGACCTCACCTCTCTGAGCCTCAGTTTCATCATCTGTCATAGGAGAAAACTACCAGTATGTATGTTGCAGTGTGGCTATATTAAATATAATAATGGGTGTGACTTATAAATTATAAAGTGCTTCATATGTGAAAAAAGAGGCCTGGTTCCTTAAGACACAGCCAAGAGGGAGATGGACCCACGTGATTAGGAAATCATTAAGGACCATTTCCATTCATCCCACAATACACACGGGGCACCGACCACTTGGAAACACTGCAGAGAGTCCTAGAGCCCCAAGACAGGCTGTCTGATCAGGTGGGCCAGAGAAATAACATCACTGCTAATTCACACAGACTGAGCTCTAGGTGCTCCCTGAATTCTAACAGGGCAGGGACTCTCATCACCCACTTGCTAAGCTCAGGGAAGTGAAGTGATTTGCCCGAGGTCCCCCTGCTTCTTGGGGTGGTGGCTGAGAAACCAACTCAATACTCCTTGACAATCAAGTCTTCCTACTCTTCTCCCTGAGCACTAACACATCTGCTAGCAACTGGAAGGGGAGGGAGGGAGGTAGAATCAGGCAACTGCCTCCATGGTGGAAGGAGGGGCGAGCTGGCAGGGAGAAGTAAGGCAGCCTCAGCCGTCCTCCCTACCCAGCCCGCCTGAACAACCCAATCTGTGCACTACAATCTGTGCCTCCCAACTTTTCCCCAAGGTCCTCTCTCCCGGCTCCACTTTGATTGGCTAGAACTGCACCATACAATACGACAGCCAGAAGCCACTTCTGGCTATTTAAATTCATTAAAATTAAATAAGATGTTCCTTGACTTACAATGGTGTTAAGTCCTGATAAACCCGTCATAAGTTGAAAATACAACACATCAAAAACACATTTAAGGGGTGGCCAGTTAGCTCAGGTGGTTAGAGCGCAGGCTCATAACACCAAGGTTGCCTGTTCGATTCCCACATGGGCCACGGAGCTGTGCCCTCCACAACTAGACTGAAGACAACTACTTGGCTTAGAGCTGACGGGTCCTGGAAAAACACACTGTTCCCCAATAAAATTAAAAAAAAATTTTTTTAAACACCTAACCTACTGAACATCAGAGCTCAGCCTCACCTACCTTAAATGAGCTCTGAACACTTACATTAGCCTACCTACAACTGGGCAATTATCTTGAGTTTATCTCAAGAGTCACTGCCTTCCTCTTTTTCCTCTCACCAGATGGGCGTTTTGTAGACATGATGGGATGTGAAAACACAATATGCAAAAAGCGCTGGCAACACAAGTACACGGTAGACTATTAGTTGTTTGCCCTCGTGATCAAGTCTGTCCAGCATCATGAGAAAGAACCGTACTGCATATCATAACGCTAGCCCAGGAAAAGATCAAAATTCAAAATCGAAACAAGTTTTCTACTGAATGTGTATCGCTTTCCGACCATCCTAAAGTTGAAATATCTTAAGTTGAACCATCATAAGTTGGCAACTGTCTGTCAAGTGAGAACTTCAGTCCCTCAGTGGCACTAGCCACGTTTCAGTGCCCAGTAGCGACATGTGGTTAGTGGCTACTGTACTGGACGGTGCAGATGTGGAACACTTCCATCATCACAAAAAGTTCTATTGACAGCCTGGCCTAAAATCTTTGACTAAATGCTCCTCCTCCTTCTCTCCACTCAAAAAAAAAAAAAAAAAAAAGGAAGAGGGAAGGGCAGCAGGGTGACTGAGCCAAGACGGGAAGCATATTTAATCAGCCACAAATGACCTTTCTCTACACTTTCTCCAGTCCTGCACACTTCCCACTGACCCAGCCAACAGGCTCCAGTGACTGAGAACAGCTTTGGAGGATTTAGTGCTTAAAAAAAAAAAAAAAGTGACAGAGACAAGCCCAAAGGCAGGAGACTGCCCTACCCCCATCCTGCTCCAGCAACCCTTCCAAAATGCAGAAGCCCGTCCAAGGATCCTTCCCCTCATTCCTGGCCCATCCTCTTCACCCTCCTTGTTTCTTCTCTTATCTAGAGCTTCTTCCCACAGCTTCCAGCTTTCCTACGTTCTGGATTGCAGGGTCAGACCCAACATCACAAGATCTTGACAAATTCCCTCCAGGGCCCTCACCAATCCAGGCTCTACCCAGGTCACCTTTCTTCCCCCTCCCTTCCCTCCACCCTCACTTTCAAAAGCTGCCAACATTCCTATTGCCCTTATCATATGCCAGGTCCAGTTCTTAGCATTCTACATATTTAATTTTCACTACAACACTATGTAGTGCCACCGTTAGCATTTTACAGAGGGGGAAAGAAATTAGGTCCAGAGAGCAGGCAGTCCCTTGCCCAAGGCCACACAACTGTAAACTAGCAGATTGGAGATATAAACCCACAGTGGTCTTGCTTCATAACCTACCTTCTCAACAACTACTCTCTTAGTGTGAAATTTTAGTTCATGGCTCTACTGTAGCCCACAGGGGCTTCCAGTTAGATGTTTCTAAAAACTGTGGACAAAGTGCCCTGTGGCCCTCTCTCCCTCCTTTTCTCCTCTCCTTACTTCAACAAATATTTCGTGATCATCTCCTTAATAGAGTGATCAAAACAGACAAGGTCCCTGTCCTGGTATTTAATGAGGAGGCACAAGATCAAACGACTTTTTTACGCAATTCATTTGAAAATCAGAATTATGGCAAAGAAATATAGGGCACTATAAAAGCCGGTAGCAGGGTACATAACCTCTCTTTTCTCCTCTTTGAAGGCGGGGGTTCTTTACCGAAAACAAAGTCTTCACCTTACCAAGGAAGGCCGTGTCACTCTCCATCCCCGGAGGGCAAAGGTCTCGCCTCCTCGGATTCCTCCAAGAGACATCCCTCCGGAGAGGATGGGTGGCAACTAATGAGGAACCCTCTTCCTCTCTCCAAGTTGTACCCCTCCTTCAGGACCCCCAAAAGAGCTGCCTCGCCTTTCCTCTCTTAAGGAAGTGGAAGTTGTTCCTTTGAATGTCCTCTCCAAGTGGTTCTCCCTACCCTTGTCCCTTTTGTGACAGCCCTTCCTTCTCTCCCTGCAGGGACCCCACACTCTGAAGACAGCATTGACACCCCTATTCCCCCTTGGGGAAAACTCCCCGGTACGCCAGGTACTCACAGATCTAGCCATCCCCCAAGCCCCAAGCCGCTGCAGGAGCAGACCAACTTGGCCCAAGCCTCGACTTGGCCCCGAAACCCGCGCAACGGCAGCCACCACCGCCATCTTGACTAACAACCCCCGTGCGATCCTCCCCTCTCCTCGGCGAGACTGAGGTCTGCCCCTTCATGAGCCTTATTCAAATGCCAGCACCACCCTGCCAAGAAACCACCTATTACTAGTCCTGCGGTCTCTAAGACATGTATATGCGTGTAAAATACAATCCAGCTTCCCCAAAATTACTCTGATCGCCCCATCATAGTAGTTTCTGTAACAGGCAAAGAAGAGGGCAACATGACCAGAGCCTCAGGATTTTAAGGCCCTGGGGCCTCGGGTAGGACGAGCCCATGCCAGGGCCCGCCCCCCTTCTCTACTGTCCAATGTTTCCTTTAGAATTTTGAGGCGGGAGAGGGCGGGGCCAGATTGTTAGTAAACGGGGAGCCACGTGCGGGCCCCAGATCCTGGCACTCCAAGGTCGGCGCGTGCGCACTGGGTACGCAGCCTGTACGCAAGCGCGTACTTCGGTGCGGAAGCGACTACACGCGTGGTTTGGTCCCATGGCCGGGACAATGCAGACTGAAGCTAAGAACCGCACTGCGGATGGAACAGAGTCCGGCCGTCAGGGCCCCGGCTGCAGCCTCCGGCACTTTGCGTGCGAACAGAACCTGTTGTCCCGGCCGGACGGTTCTGCCTCTTTCCTGCAAGGTGAGAGAGCTTAAGCCTGGTAAATACTGCCGGAGCCACGTTCATCCAGTTCGTATTTGTTTTAGGGGGCGCCGACGGTGTACCGTGCAAAGAATGCTCACCTCCTCTGATACTAGCAGATAAATGTCACTCCTGTACTCGTACAGAACTTTTTGCTCAGGTGGATACTACTAAATACATTAGGATACACATATCTCTCCCTCCTGACTAGAAGGGAGAGGATATCTACACCCTGGTAAGTAAGTGCTTATGAGGAGAGAGGGCCAGACTTCCCCTAAGCATGAATACTCCAGAACAGAGAAAATCTCGTCAGGGTAAATGTCCCCCCTGATTAGATTTCCTTCTCTGTCTTTCACTCACACACACACACCCCCACCCCTGGGTCCTTACATCCCAAGCTTAAGCAAACCTGCCTATTTGCATAAATACCCTGTAGACTGGCAGATCACCGTTACTGGTTTAATTTACTCCCTGCCATGGCAGATCTTTCACCCAAGTTAATCCTTTTCATATCGAAGGTGATGTCTGCACCGTGGTAGGAGAAAGATTTTCCTCACCCCACCAATTGGGTAGATAGCCCTTTGACTGGGTTACACATCTTTCCATTTGAGTAAATATCCCTAAGATCGGAGCAGGTCTTACCTGTTGGTTAAGTATCCCCTGCCTCTAGCTAAATACCTCTCAAACTCCCTGACCCAGGTAAATAATTCCTCTAGAGATAGGCCTAAGGGTCACCCCTATAGATGCATCAGACCTCTCCCTAGGGCGCTACCTTCTACCCAGTTACAAACCTAGGGGCAGATGAGGAGTTCAGTTTGGAACATGAGGTTTGCAATGCCTAATAGATATCCCAGTGGCAATCTGGACTGGGCCATTGGACATACCAGTCTGAAATTCAAAAGAGAGATCCAATCTGGATATAGAATATGAAATCCTCTGGCTATAGATAGTAGTTTGAGCTCTTGTTTGAATGAAATCACATAGAAAAGTGGAGTGTAGATGGGAAAGAGAAGAGGTCCCAGGACTAAGCCCTGAGTCTCCTCACTTGTGAGGAGCTAGCAGAAGACATGAGAAGGAGCAGCCAGTAAGGCAGGAGAAAAACCGAAAGAGAGTGGTGACCTAGAGCCCAGAGAATGTGTTTGAGATGTAAAGGTCTGACCAGTGGCATCAGTACTACTGAGCGGTTGCATTACATGAGGATGGAACAGACCTGTGGATTAATTGGTGACGCTGTCAAGAGTCAGTCCAGTGGAGTGGTGTGTTCAAGGAGAAGAGGAAAAGGAGACAGCAAGTGGAGACAGCTCTGTGGGAGCTTGGCTGTAAGAGGATCAGATAAATGGGGGGGCAGCAGTTGCAGATGGATGTGGGTCTGGAGAGGAGGGAGTTAGTTACTCTAGAGAATTGCTGGAGCCGGTGGAGGAGAGAGGAGGGACACCTGTGCTCAAGTGGACGGCAGACAGCTCGTTGGAAGTAACAGGAATGAAGACCTCAGCGTGGATCTAGTTCTCCTTGGATAACTTCCCCCTTTGGGATAGATTCTCCTGGAGCGCAGAGAACCCCTCAGTTGTGTGGCAGCTCCTCCTGCCCCAGGAAAAACAGCCCCAACCCCCAGTCCCACCCCCAGGCTTAGCTTTCTTGCTAAAACCAGATGCCTGGAGTTTGTTAGCCCCTTCCGTGTTCTAAAACCCCAAAGCCCCAGGACCTTGGAGCAAGGGGAGTCCTTAAAGACCCTTAAAGGTGTGTTCCAGGTGCTTCTGGCCTCAGAATCTCTGGTGACCTTAAAATGAAGAGCCCCAGAACCCACCCTATGCCTATGGAAGCTGGTCCTCTTCACTTTTAATTAACTACTGCGGTGGTTCTGATTGCAGAGCCGTGTTTTTTAAGCTGTGCCCGAGCTCTGCTCCATGTTGCAGGTCACAGATGTTCCCCTGCTTCCCCCCCCCACACACACCAGAATGGCTTGTGGTGCTCTGACCTCCATTGCCTGAGCCCCACCTTGAGTGGCTGAATTAGGATCTCTGGGGGAGATGCCTGGACATAGGTGTCTTTTAAAGCTCCACAGTGATTTCAGTGTGCAGCCAGGGTTGAGAACCACCACATTTGTTGGTGATTCTTTTTATTGGAATCGAGTAGAAAATATCAGAACGTATCAAAGCAGTAATGGTTAGAGATGTTTTGTGAGGCCTTTGTTCCATTTACATGCACGGAGATTTGCAGGAGTTTTGAATCCCGCTGTAAAATGTATTTCTTACTGGGAGTTATGGTCAGAAAAGTTAGGAAGCCGCTGTTCTAGTCTAGCCTCTCCATTTTGCAGTTGATAAAACTGAGGCCCAAAGAGGTGAGCAAAATCAGCTGAGAGTACAGAGCCAGGAGGAGGCAGACAGGACGCGAAGCCAGGCTTTTTATTTCCCAGGTCTTGCCTCCCCTGTTCTGGTTCATACCCACATCGGGGAAATAAGCAGGAATCAGGACCCATGCCCAGAAGGTTAGCCCTTTCTCAGGTGTCCTGCCTGCTGCAGAGTTTGGGGATGGGAGCCTGAGGGAAGAGAGCTGGGCTAGGGAAGCTTTGGAAGGAGAAGTGGAGACCAGCTGCAGTAAGCGAGAAGAAGGGTAGCTCTCAGGAAGAACTTCCTGTTACAGTTTAATAACATTCGCTACGGTCTGTTTTGTACTCAGCATGGACCAGGCAGTGTCATGGATTATCTCATTTACTCCTCACGACGCTCTGAGAGAGGCACTGTTATTATCCCCGTTTTACAGATGAGAAAGCAGACACAGAGCAGTGAAGCGAGTACTCAGAACCGCTGACAACAAATGGTGGACCAGAGTGAGGGTGACGTGGGGCACCCTGGCCATCCGGCTCAGAGCCCACCCTGTTAAGTGCCACACAGTGGGCCCCAGAGGCAGGGTGGACATGGGCGAGGTCTCCGTGCTCTTTCCCACAGGGGATACTTCCGTCCTGGCAGGCGTGTACGGGCCGGCTGAGGTGAAGATCAGCAAAGAGATCTTCAATAAGGCCACACTGGAAGTGATCCTGAGGCCGAAGATTGGGTTGCCAGGTAAGTGGGCCGGGCCAGGCTGGGTCTCCACATGTCCAGTCTGTTGGGACCTCTCACCCGGCTCCGCCCTCACTGCTGTCCCCAGTCTCCACTGTCCCCAGTCTCCACTGTCTCCTCTTGTTTCCCGTCAGCGATTGCTATCTCTTCCTCCAACTCTACCTCTGAGTCTCTGTGTTTTTGTCACTTTTCTCTTTGCCTCCTATCTCTATCTGTCTTCCCTTCCTCCCTTCTTTCCATCCTTTTACCCAGTCTCCCTCACTCCCAGGGGCTGGATCCACTGGGATGGGCTTGGGAAGCATCATGGGACATAGGAACTCTGGGGTTTTCCTCCCCCAGGAGGCTCCCTTGCTGGAAGTTGGAGGTGGCAGGGTGGGGTGGGTGGCAGCCAGACCCTGTCTCCTTCCCACTAGGAATCCTGTGTCATCCATGCAGGGCCCTGGGCCGAGACTTCAGGCCCTTTCCAGAGGCTTGGGTGGGTCATACGGAGGAAAGGAAGAGCCTAACCCCACTCCACCCCTGGTTTCCCCAGGCGTAGCAGAGAAGAGCCGGGAGAGGCTGATCAGGAACACGTGTGAAGCGGTGGTGCTGGGAACGCTGCACCCCCGCACCTCTATCACTGTCGTGCTGCAGATCGTCAGTGATGCTGGCTCTGTATCCTTTCCCCAAGCTGCCTCCTCCAGGAAGTCCTCCAGAATCTCCCTGGTTGCCTCCCTTGCTGATGGCCATGTGCACACCCTCCCCTAGCCAGAAGACCTCCAAACATTTGACAGGCACCAACTTGTTGAGAAGGAACAACAAACAGCCTCAGTGTTTACTCTGTGTCAAGCACTGTTTTGAGTGCTTTACACATGTTAACTCATTTTTTCCACACGGCAAGGCCAACTCACATCTAGTAATTTGGCAGAGCCAGAGCTTGAGCCCAAGCCATCCGGTTCTCGAGCCCCAAAGCCCCTGGCAGATGGTGTTTTTATGTTCCCATGTTTCAGGTGAGCAAACTGAGGCCCAGAGAGGGGAAGTCACTTGTCACACAAGGTCACACAGCTGAAGGCAGCAGAGACAAAACTCATACCCAGACCTGTTTGACTGCAAAGCCTGTGTCATTGCCCTCCACTCTGACCCTGAGCTTAGATTTGAGGCTCAACACTGGGAGAGCCCTGAGCAAACAGAACAGTTGGGTCAGCAGTTCAGCCTTGAAAGATCCCTAATGGCTTGGGCGACAGAGGTTGAGGCTGAGGGTCAGAAATGGGCATTTCTAGAAGGCCTCACTGGTGTAGACATTTCATAGACAGGAGGAGGGGAGGGCTTGTTGTAACCCCATTTCACAGTGGGGGAAACCGAAGCTCAGGAAGGTCATAGAAGGTCAGTGGCAGGGGTGGAACTGATTGATTCTAAAGCTGGGCTCTTATCCACAGTGCTATACCTGGGGAGCAAAGACAAGGAAACTTGAGGTCAAGCCAGCTATCTGACTCAGCCCTGTGCTTGCCTTCCACCTTGCCACAGCCACACCCCTCCCCTGGATTGTGGGCTCCCTGAGGGCAGCAGTAATAACTCCTCCGTCCATCAACCTGCCAGTCTGTCAGTGGTAGCGGCTGCCTGCCAGATTCCCAGGCTCCAGGCCTAGCTGTGCCAGTACTTCCCATGTGGTCTGGAAGGTTTCTTCCCTCTCTGCCCTCAGTTTCCCTAAAGGTGCTTAGCACATGCCAGCCTGTTGAAGATCATGATCCCTGATTGAGGCTCAGAGAGAGTAAGTCACTTGCTCAAGGTCACACAGCTGAGAGGTGGCAAAGTCAGTTCTGGAAGCCAAGGTTACTTGATCACAGACTCACTTAGAACTACTGTGTCATACTGCCTTCCTGTGATCAGTTAGTGATGTTGCCTCAAGCACTGGCAGAGAGGATGGAGGCATGGACACACCCTGCTGCCCTGGCCTGCAGTAGAATCTCTTAACCACTCCCTGTGGCACTCAGCTCCTGGCCTGCTGCCTGAATGCCGCCTGTATAGCGTTGGTGGATGCAGGTGTGCCCATGCGGGCCCTCTTCTGTGGGATCACCTGTGCCCTGGACTCTGATGGGACCCTTGTGCTGGACCCCACAGCGAGGCAAGAAAAGGTAGGTATGAAGGCCAGGTGGTGAAGGGCCGTAAGCAGGCCCTGTCCCTGTCTCCCTCCTCTAGGCCTCACTTCTCCACAATAGTTGGCTTGTACCTCCTCGGTCCCAGTTGGCAAGCTCCACTCTGTTCATCAGGGCACATGCTAGAAACCCAACTCAAGCTGCTTGAGCAAAAAGGGAATTTAGTGACATTCGGTCCCAAACTCAGAACAGGGCCTAGAGCCAGGGCCTCAAAACACCATCAGGATTTCCTTGCTTCATTTCTCAGTCCCTGCTCTTTTCTGCGAATTGGCTCCATTCTCTCTGGCCAGCATCTCTCCTGAGGCTGTGACTGGCCCTGCGTAAGCTCTGTACGTCCATCTTAAGAGGCTCAAAAGCAAAGGAGGCGAGAGCATTCCTCATTGGCTCAAGCTCACAGTGTCCTAGGGCTGTGGTTGCTCTTGAGTTATTTGCCCCATCACATCCAGTCAGGAAAGCGGAAACTACTTGGGGGATTTCCAACGGAGAGAATTTAGTGCAGGGAACTGGTTACAACTGTATGGGAAGAACTGAGGGAGCCATCAGGAAGAGGGGGAATGCCCAGAGATCAGAAGCCTCTAGCCAGCTCCTGCTGTGCTGTTGGAGGCCTCACTGCAGTCAGTCCTGGATGCACAGACGTCCTGGCTTCACCCTGGCTGCTGATGGCCAGGAATGCACCTCCATGGCTGCTGTGGCAACTGCCACAACCACAGCACCTGCTCCTGTCAGAGTGAGGACCAGGATACTGGTCTCCCTCCTTCCAGTCTCCCACTAGACTACTGGTGGAACCTAGCTCGTAAGGGACTCTGGGAAATACAGTTCGCTGGCTTCCAGCCCCAGCAGTACAAAGCACAGAGGGAGGCTAGGAGGCACCAGGTAAATGACACCTGCCCATACAGGGTAGGAATACCATGCTTGGCAACCTGTCAGAAACGTGGGTAGACTCTGGTGTGGGGAGCAATTCTGAGGAAAGGCAGCGTTAACTGGGAAAGCTGGTGGTGGGGGGGCGGTACATAGTCAAAACAACTACACTTGACACACGAGTTCCTGGCTGCAGGAAAGGCGAGTCCCCTCTTTGGGACTAGCCGAGATTATGTCTAAGGGAAGTCCAGGTCCCCCACCTTCTAACTCTCATCCCTAGGAGGCCCGGGCAGTCCTGACCTTTGCGCTTGACAGTGTGGACCAGAAGCTGCTGATGTCCACTACCAAGGGGCTGTACTCCGATGCTGAGGTACCAGTGTGTGAATGTGGGTGAACCCCAGATCCTTCCCTCCCCCTCATAGGAGGTCGTGTCCCAACTCTGAGAGGTTCAAGGAGGGCCCCTTCCTTGCATCCTTTCTGTAAATAAAAGGAGTTTTCAAACTTTGTCGCCACAGAAACCTTTGTGGACATTTTAAAAGGGAAGCCTAATTTATGGGATAGGAAAAGAGGAACTCAGGTTGAAATCAAAAGGTGGGGGTCCCTGAAGGCCCCCCACAGCTTCCAGCTCAGAGCAGTGCCCCAGCCCTGAATTCCAGGTCTGAGGAAGAGTTTGGAAACTGTTTGGCCAAATGGTCTCCAAGAGCATTTCCAACCTGGACCTCCTGTTGTTCTAGGAATATGTGGCAGTAAAGATTTGGGGTCTCAGGTTCCATGGCTTTTAAGATTATTTGGAGTCACGGGGCCTGTGGCTCTAAAATTCCAGGATCTCTCCAATTCCATGAGCTTTAAGGTGTCTTCCAGCCATCAGGATGCCTGATCCTGTTGGTTCGAGGCCCTGGAGCCGGAGCTGTCAGAAGCTGACCCCTGAAGCCCCACCTTCTCTTTCTTCCTCCTCTTCCCCTCTAAGGAAGAGCCCATGAAGTGGGGAAGAAGGAAATGCACTTGGAACTATCCCCTCCCTATCCTCCTCACCTGGAGGGGAGGGGTATGCCCAGATGAATGGGGAGGTGGTAGGTTTGGGAGCCCTTAGGAATCAGGGATGGGCTACCCCGCACTGATGAGTCTCTTCCCCTCCCAGCTCCAGCAGTGCCTGGCCGCAGCCCAGGCTGCCTCGCAACACGTCTTCCGCTTCTACCGGGAATCACTGCAGAGGCGTTACTCCAAGAGCTGAGGCAAGCTGGGGCACGGCACCCCTCCTGCTGCCGCCACCCACTACCTTCAGTGCAAAATAAACTGGTGTCCCAGCATTGCTCTCTGCCCTTGTGTGCCCTGGGAAGCTTGTGGGCCTGTAGCTGCAGAGGCCCCTGACCTAAGGACCTGAGATCTCTAGGCTACAGCCCCTGGGCCCGGGGGGGGGGGGGGGGGGGCTGGACAGGCCTCTCTCACCCCCACCAGGAAAACACCACTACGATTGCACATTTATTGAATGAATTCATTTAGTCTAATACCTGTTGAGCACCCACTGTGTGCGGGCCCTGCTAGGTGCTGAGGACCCAGCAATGAACAAGAGACCCAGGTCCCAGGTTCAAGGAGCAGTGGGGTGATGGACAAATAAAATTGGCGTTCGTCAAATGGTAAACGCTGTTAATAAAAAATGGGGTAGGGGGGAAGCGTTTTGAACAAGTTTCGTTTGGGCATGGCAAATTTAATGTCAGTCAGGGACACCTTCACCAAGATGGGGACATCTGAGAAAAGCCAGGAGGAGGACGGAGCGAACTCCTGGGGATGGACACGTGGGGAACAAGCCCCAGGCAGAGGCCTGTGGAGGGTCAAAGACGGCAAGGCTGTGGGGTGGCTCAGCAGAGCGAGGGCTCTGAGAGAAGGGACGGTCCATAGAGAACGGGCTTGTGGGCTTGGAGCGAATCTGGCTCTGAGCCCAACAACCCGTTGAGGTAGGAGGCTGTTATAGTCCCCATTTTAAGATGAGGAAACAAGCTCAGAAGCCAATTAGTTGACCAGTTGTTGTCAATGGAGCACAGGTCCCACTCAGAGCCTTGTCCCAGGCCCTCACTGTTCAGACAAATCCAGAGAGAGGCCAGCACACTCTGGACTGAGGTTTCCACCTTCTGTACACAGAAGTGGCTGAGACTTGGTTATCAGCGCTGGCAGCACCCCCTAAGGAGTGTCTGAAAATATGGAGGGGAGGGCATTTTTAGTCACCATTTGACAGTCCCCCGTCCCCCGCAAACATACACACTCTTATTTAGTGGGCAAGAGCCACAAACATGCAAGTATCCCACAAGGAGTAACTACCACAGCTGAGCCACATGGTCTCTGGCCCCTGTTGCCACTGTTTGGGGATTTGTGCTGGTCCCTCTGCTGCGTGCCTCACATGCCTGAACTAACTCAGTCCCCACAACTGCCCCTTTGAGTGGGTGTAGTTTTTGTCCCCAGGAACCAAGAAGGAAATACGTACGTATCTTCAGCTTGAAATTATGCTCCATGAGACACTCGGGAATGCCAAATGGGGAAGAGCGTTCTAGCAAGATCCACTAGAATGGCATTAAATGGATTGAGAAAACTGTACTGCCTGTCAACTCCATTACTTGGTAATATCAGGCCCTATTTACTGAGCACTTCCATACGCCTCTGCTAAGGGCTCCTGGCAGACATCATCTGTTTTGCCTGCTGGGTGCCAGCACTTTGATGTTACCTTACGGCTCTATACCCCCCAATCTCGGGCCATTGGATTCAACTAGGGCTGCCTCCCAACCCAGGTGGGCCAATGAAAGGGCCCATGGGAAGGGGGACCTTAGGTACCGGAGCTGCCAGGGCCATTTTTCTCCCCCCGAAATGGGGAGCCCGCATGGAATGAAGCCAAGAGGGAAGGAGGACCAAGAGATGAAGAATCCATTTTGTTTGAGCTCCTGAATCCTGTCGTACCTCAACTTTCTTCCCCTTTTTTGCGTAAGGCAGTCTGAGTTGCTGTCAAAAGAGCTCAGAGGGAGACTGCAGTTTACATGTATGATGACACATTTGGTCCTCACCACAGCTCCCAGGTGTGGAAAAGAGTCTCATTTTACAGATGAGAAAAAGTGAGGTTCAACGAGACGTCACTGGGGCTGGGGCCACATAGCTAACGTGCGAAGGAGTAAGGACTCGGCACTTGGCTCTAATTCTCTGCTGACCCTCCTCATTCCACAACTTGTAAACCCTGGGCCCTTCAGCTTCTCCCTTCTCCAGCTCAGGTTTCCTGGAGCCCCCTGGGGACAGCCTGTCAGGCACCCCCACCCCACCTTCCCTCACACACAGACTGACACAGGTTTGGCTGCAAGAGTGTCTGGTATTTAATCTCACGTTGCAGCAGCCAGGAAGGGGAAGGGGGTATCCAGCCGGGTCCCATTGCGGGACGCTGTCACCACCACATGCACCCGATTCTCCATTCCGCCTGAGGACACGCTGGGCCGCTGGCCTCTGGTTCACAGTGGGGGCCGCAGGGGCAGCTAGGGTGGGTCTCGGGAGGCCAGGTAGGCGGCCAGGGTCACCAGGGCGGCCGCGTATGTGCACACGCCCAGCCCGACAGCCAGGACCCCCAGCAGGAAGGCGCGGCGGGAGGCAGCCCCTGCCCCCTGGATGTCCCCCTTGGCCCAAGCCTTGTTGGTCTGTGGAGGTGTTGGGCAGTGGTGACTTAAGCATCCCCTCTGCCACCCTGCTTCCCGAAGCCCCCATCCCTTCCCCACAGGACACACCCATGCATTCACTCATATATTCCAAAAACAGCGAGCACCACTGTGGGTCAGGCACAGTCGGGCACTGAGAATACTGGGTGACTAACAAAATTATACATATATTACTGTTTGCCGCCATTCTAACTCATTTGACCCTCACAATGACCCTGAAGCAGGAATTATGCCCATTTCACTGATGAGGAAAATGAGGCACAGGAAAGATGAGTGGCTTGCCCACCGAGCGGGGCAGACTTAGGACTTGAGTTGAGGTTCTTACCTCAGCAGCCCTCTGTGAAACACATCTCATTTTACCCCTGAATGTTTCCATGCAAACCCTTTCCATCTCACCCTACCCCCACCCCACCCCAGGCCTAGCTCCTCTATTTTGTTCTGTGTTTTGAATGCATTTTTCTCATTTATATTCAGTCCCCTCCCTGCCCCACACACAGACTGACCTTCTGGGCCAGGCAGAAGGCGGCGATGCCCACAGGCCAGAAACAGCACAGCATGGAGAAGACAGCCAAGCCGAGGTGGTCATGGGGTAGGAGCGGGGAGAGAAGGCCGCCCCCATCCCAGTCTGAGTCGCTGTCACTGGATGACACATCCTATGGGCAGGAGAGGGGCTGGGTGGACATCTCTACCCACCTTCCCTGCCCCACTGCTCTGCTCTCCAAAGCCCCCAAAGACCAATACCAGGGCCTCCCCAGAAACATCAAGACAGAAAAAATGTTCCAGGATACAGGCTCTTGACTTTTCTACATCCTGGATCCTTTTGAGGGGAAACTGTGGACCATGTCTCCAGAGAAGAGCCCACCCACAACCAAAGCTTTGAGTTCAATTTCAAATTCGCATGTCCAATTGTAGCTACTCCAACTGCTTATAATCTCTGAGTTAAATGCCTGTGAAGTGGAAACAGACACTGATGGGAACAGGAACCTATAAAAAGATGGAGATTAGGAGAGACAGCTTGGGGGACTAAGGTACTAGTTTCAACCCTATCTGCTGAAACTATATATTCTAGATAAAGAATTTATTTTTTTTTCAGTCTTGCATCAAATAGCTCACAATACTTTAAGGAGTTACGGTAAGCCCAAAACTGAAATGAAAATCAAAGTTAACAAAGAGGTCAAATGAACAGAAGGCCCTCTTTTGCCTTGCAGACATTTGCCAATCCCAGAATAATTAACTTTTCAATCAAACCTTGAACTAGATTAAAAATGATCTTTGGTAGTGCCCCTAGGCAACTGACCAAAACAAACCAAATCCTCTGTGGAGGAAGGTACCTTCATCCTAGATCTGAAAATAATTTTTCTTAAAAACAATTTTGCAAATAAGATGACCACCATGCAGTCAAAGATAACCAGGCACATAAGGAACCGTGAATAAGAACCAGCAGAAATAATAAGGGTCTTCAAAGTCTTCAAACAATGCAATTAGCAGACACATACAATGTCAGTGTGATACTCACTGCCACAATGTGGCAGACTGTGTTTTCCCAAAATGGCCACAATCATCGCTCCAGTCCTGGTGCTCTTCTTAGAGTGTGACTGATACTCTTCCCATCAAGGGTGAGATATGTGTTCCCTGTCATTGAGTCTGGACAGGATGTGGCTCCCTCATAATTGATGGAATCTGGTGGAAGTAATGCTGCATGACTTCCTTAAGTCAGAAAAGATGAGGCAGCTCCTGCGCTTTGCTGAGACATTCATGCTGGAGGCATGTTAAGGGTTCTGACTGCTCTGAAGCAGTCATGCTGGAAGGAAGCCCAAACCAGCCCACATGGGGAGACCCATGTAGAAACCCCAGGACTACATGAAGAGAGAGATACCCAGTCAGCCCCCCAGCTGCTTCAGCCCCTGACTCTTCCAAACCTTAGCCACTGGCTGACTCCTCATGAAAGACTCTGAGGCAGAAACACCCAACCGAATTCTTCCCAAATTCCTGACCCACAGAAACCATGAGTGATAATGATTATTGTTTTAAGCTTAAGTTTTACAGTGACTTCTTGATTACAGCAATAGTAAATGGGAAACCATGTTTAAGAAATAAAAGATGAGCTTGACAGTATGTATAAGGAATAAGAAATTATAAAAGTGACATTAACTTGAAAAAAAAGGGACCAGGAATGACAGAGGCCAGAGGTGTGTAGGCTCTGAAGAGAAATGGATAGAGAGCAAGGGAGTCAGCAATCAGAAGGAAGACAGAGAGCCAAAGGCAAGGAAACAAAGATGACAGGTAAATCTGGAGAAAAATAGCTAGAGAAACCTGGGGAGAAGGAGAACAGGAAAACTACAGCTGGAAATCTAGGAAGCCCACACACAGCTGGAAAGTGAGACTTCAGGCTAAAGCCAGGTACCCCAGCCGCTAGCCAGTCAGATGTTGGTCACAGCTGGAATCACCTCCAGCTCCCTCCCCAGCTCCCACTAAGGCCTGCTGTTCCTACCTCAAGGTCAGTGGGCCCTGTTTCCCCCAGGTAAGGGCTCCCAGAGGGAAGAGGTGGTGGCAGGAACTGCCAACCCCTCAGAGACTCTGCAAAGGCTGTCTCTCCAAAGGGGGACCCCAGCTCAGGCTCGCCAGGCTTCTGGATGGGGGTCTCGCAGCCTACACCTGCCAGCAGAGGCTGTTGGAGCTCTCGAAGACTGGGGCTATCCATTGTTGGGGAGAGGTTCCCAGAGGGGTTTCCTGGGGTAGGGGAAAGAAAAAGACAAGTTGCAAAAGACTCACCTTCATCCTTCTCCTGACTCCCAACTCTGGAGAGACTCCAGGCAGAGGCTAGTTAGTTCAACCCCCCTCAGACCCATTTTACAGATGGTAAAGCTGACTGAGGCCCAGAGAATAAAAGAGGCTGGCTCAAGTTGTGAAGAGAACTCCGGGGTCTGGACATTCAATTCTGGGCTTCTCTCTGCTCAGGCAAAAACCACATAGCTGTTGCACACTTACTCCAAGCCATGTTTACACACTTGCCCCATGAACTACACACCCATCCTGGGTTCACACATGAACCCTCTCCCCCCACACTCCTTCCCAATGACGCTTTGCACTTCACTCAAGTTCACACTCCCTGTGCCCAAACCTGAACTCTTGAATACCCAGGTCCCTGAAGCACAAAACCATTCAGACAGGCCCCACCCTCACCTCCACCTATGCTTTCATCTCCCAAGGACTCCTTGCATACTTGCTCCAGACAACATCAACCTCCAGAAAACACCCCAAACCTCTTACACACTCATCCCAAGTGGCTCCTATCCCCCCAGTATCAGATCCCCCCATATGCACACATTCGCACAGGCTTCCCACACAGGTATCCCAGGATACTCTCCCCTCTTCCCATCATTTCCCTTGCACACCTGCCCCAAACACCCAGTCCAGGCACCCCTCACCTACTCCATCTACATCCATGATCCCACACAATCCTCTGCGCACCCACCAGCTCCCCAGGCACCTCCTCCTGTTTTATCAGAATGCTCCTTATGCAGCACACCTCCCACATAACACCCCCAACCCACCTACCACACTCTCGTACACACTCAATCACAAAGAGTATTCTCCTCACCCCACGATCACCCTGGGGGCCACTAAGCCTCCCGCCCTCACTCCAAACCTGGCTTGGATCGATTTCCCCGCAATGGGTTTGCCTCCCCAACCCCAATGCCAGGACCGGAGAGTGGGGCGGTGCCCCCCACTTGCGCCCCTCACTCACCCCGCCCAAGCCTGATGCCGGGACCTCCTGGGCCCCTACATCGACACCCACCCCGACCCTGCCACTCGGAGGTGGGGACCTCAGTACGCCCCGCGCTCCCCGGGGCCTGGACCTGGAGGCGCGGGGTCCTCACGCTCCGCTTGGCTCCTCTCTCAGCGCACGGTCCGCAGCGACCAGGGGCAGGGATGCGGGCGGGGCGGCAGCCTCCCGGCTCCGCCCTCCGCAGCGGCCGAGCAGCGGGCCTTGAAGGCCGACGTCAGCGCCGGACGCTGGCCCCTGCCACCCCAGGTGTGCCGGAGCAGGAGGGGATCTCCAGGACAGCGAGCCTGATTCCCTGGGCCCAGGCCCAAGCGCTGCGGGGCGGAGGAGGGGGCGTCCCCGATCTTGATCCTGCAGGGCCTTCTTGGCTTTGCCCACCCTCCACCTACCCTCACCACCCTCTGCCCAATAATAGTAACAGCAACTAGGCCAACAGTGTGCCCGGTTCTTAGTGCTTTACATATACTCGAGCACATTTAGTCCTCAGAAGGACCTAAGAGGCCTTCTCACTTGTCTTGTAGTACAGAGGAAACAGGCCCAGAGAGGTTAGGTACATGCCTAAGGGCACACCGCCAAACAGTTCAGTAAGCGCAGAACACACCCCTCCCTGGGTTAATCATCATTTACCCGCATCATCATTGCATTGATTTCTCTCCATACCTCTATTTCTCTATCCCTATTTTGCAGATCAAGAAACTGAGGCTCAGAGATGTGTGTTCACTTGACCAAGGTTAACAGGAACTAAGCCCAGCAGATTGTAACCAAGGGCTGTATTTCTTGTAGTCCCCAGGGAAGGGGAAGAAGGTGGGTGGCTTCCAGGGAAAGGTGGCTGGGGTGGGAGTGGACCGAGGATGGGGTGATGTGCCGGTTATCAGGTGGTACAGGTGGTGGTTGAGTCAGTATTTGGACTAACACAGACCTGAGTTCCTTCCCAGGCTCTTCAAGGCACTTGCTGTGTGACCTCTGGATAATGCCACCACCTCTCTGAAACCAAATTTCTTCATCTGTAAAATGGGGTAAATATTTCCTGCCTCTTAGATGTGATAACATACATAAACTATTTAGACTAAGTGTGATGATAACGTCCAACATTTACCCAAAGCTTGGCAAAGTAGGCTCTAAACATGTTTGATGATGTTTATACATATATTATTTATATCCATCTCCATCAATCTGATTAGGGGATTCTCCTCAACCTACTGGCCTCCACCTCCTTCAGGGAGCCCACCCAGCTTGCACTGGCTTCCCCTTCCCAGAAGCCCTCCATCTCATCAGTCCCTGTCAGCCAAACTAGAGGATTCCCCAGCCTGGTGTGGGGCCAGCCAGAGTTCCCTCGCTCCAGGGCTCCAGGGCTTTGTGCCAAGAGACCAGACGCTGGAGCTGGCACAGGCCCCACTCCTGGGGAGAGCAGATGGTGTCTGCAAGTGCACTTGAATCAGCCACAGTTTCTGGCAGAGGGCAGATGGGGAGACCCACCGGAGGGCAGATGAGAGGGAAGAGGGAGCAGGACTGTTTTCTCTGGGAGAGATACCCTGTTACTCTATCGCCTTAACCTTGCTCTGGCTGGTTTTTCATATCGCTTATCACTATGAAACATATTACAGTAGTCCTTTATCCACAGAGGATATGTTCCAAGCTCCCCAGTAGAGACCTGAAACCCTGGATAGTACCAAACTCTATATTTACTATGTTTTTCCCTACACATACCTATGATAAAGTTTAATTTATAAATTAAGCACAGTAAGAGATTAACAATAACTAATAATAAAATAGAATAATTATAACATACTATAGTTATGTGAATGTGGTCTCTCTCTCTCAAAATATCATTGCATTGTACTCACCCTTCTTGTGATGATAAAATTCTTATGTGATGAGATGAAATGAGGTGAGTGACACAGGCATCCTGACAAAATGTTAAGTGACTATTGACCTTATGATGATAAAGGTTACTTGAACTAAGCACTTCGATAAGATAACAGTCAATCTGATAACCGAGTGACTGATGGGCAGATAACATTGATTCCTTGGACAAAGGGATGATTCACATCCTGGGCAGGATGGAGTGGAACTCCATGAGATTTCATCATGTTATTCAGGATAGCAAACAATTTAACACTTATGAATTGTTTCTTTCTGGAACTTTCCATTTAATATTTTCAGATCGTGGTTGACCACAAGTAGCTGAAACAGTGGAAAGCAAAACTGGGCATAGGGCGGAGACTATTGTATGTTTCTGTTGTTTGTAGTTTCAATCCTCTCAATCAATGTCACCTGCAGTGGGTCTGAGATTTGATCTGTTTTGTTCACTACTGTGACTCAGGGCCTAGAACAGCACCTAGCACAAAGTACTGTATTTCCCCATGTATAAGACACACCTTAATTTTGGGGCCCGAACTTTGAAAAAAAATGTATTACATAAAGTTATTGAACTCAAGCTCTATTCATTATAAAATTCATACAACTCCTCATCACTGTCAAAACTCCCAACCATCAGCTTGTCCTCATCTGTGTCTGATGACGAATCACCGTCTTCATATATTGCCTCGTCCTCAGTTCCATCTATGGCATTTGAAATCTACAACCACTGTATAAGACGCACCCAGTTTTTAGAACCCAAATTTTTCGAAAAAAGGTGTGTCTTATACATGGGGAAATACGGTAGGCCTTTAGTACATATTAGTGGGATGGGGGCATGAATTCCCACCAACCTCAGTTTTTTACCAAATCTCCGAGTTCTACGGGTCTCTTCATCCCCCTAGGCCACCCTAGAGATTCATTCACTTTCATTTGTATCTCTCTGGCCACCGTCAGCCTTATACAGGTCTCCCCAAACTCACCCCTTTTAGGGAGTCACAAGAGGCCCAGGCCTCTTAGTGTTTGTGATGGTCCTGGAATATTAAACATGAATATCCAACCAGGATCATCAATAGAGGCTTAAAGCATTGATGTAAGTTCGATGAGCAATAGGATATTTATCTAGTCTCAAAGTATCTTCCCACAGATGACTTATTATAAAGGAAAAATAATAGTATTAGTAGAGAATACTGGCAGACATCTCCTTAACCAGCTGATAGAAGTTGACATCAACAGTAATGGAACAAATCGACTTCATGTCCCCCTGATACGCACTAAGAAGGACACAACATCATGTCTGTGGTTTTCTGCTCAAAATCCATCCTTTGGGGCCGGCCGAGTGGCTGGTTAAGAGCTTGCTTGGGAGCGCCAGCTCTGAGCAGCAGGACTGTGGTTCGGATCCCACATTGAGGGCCAGTGATGCTCGCCCTCTACAGCTGAGATGATGAACAACAGATTGACCTGGAGCTGGACTGTGGTGAGTCGCCGGCGACAGTGTAGGCTGCAGCAGGGCTGCAGTGGGCTGCCATGAGCTACGTGAGTGGCTGGCAGCCAGTGTGAGCGGCCAGGAGCTGCTGTGAGTCGCAGACCAATGACTGGCGACCGATTGCCTCACCTGGGAAGAGCACAATGATCATACCAACATGGGCCAGTGAAGCAATGTCCTCCACAACTAGACTGAAGAACAAAAATAGCAATTTGTCTACCTGTCTGTTCCCCTTCCCTGATTCCCCAACGCTGTTCCCCTCCCCCCAATTCTCCAATAAAATCTTTAAAAAACAAACAAAAAAAATCCATCCTTTGAACCTAACCATGAGAAAACATGAGACAAAGCCAAATTAAGGGAATTATAAAGTATCTGGAATGTGCTCCTCAAAAACATCACTGTCATGAAAAACAAAACAATAACAAAAAATTTAAAACCTGGCAGGCCTGTTCTAGATTAAAGATGAGTAAGGAAACATGACAACTAAATACAAAGTGTGATCTTGGATGTAGGGCAGATGGTGATAAAGTATGTTATTGGGGCAATGGGGGAAACTTGAATATAAACTATAAATAAGATAATAATTTTGTATCAATGTTAAATTGATACTGTGGAAAATGTTTAATTGGTATTATGATTATATAGGAGAATCCTCCCTTGTTCTTAGGAGGATTTGACTGTTGGAAATAATGAGTTATGAATATTACATTGAACAAGAATTGAATTCTTGAACAAGAAATGACTTGAACAAAAACTACACGAAACAGGAAATCCAAAGAACAATGAACGTTAATAAAAGTACTCAAAAGTCATCAAGAAAATGCAGATTAAAATCATAATTCGATACCAACACACATCCACCAGAATGGCCAAAATGAAAAAGAACTCCACCACCAAGTGTTGGTAAGAATGTGGAGAAAGGGGAACTCTCATACACTGCAAATTGGGCCAACCACCAGGAAAACTGTTGGACAATGTCTGCTATAGCTGAACATATCCTATGACCCAGCAATTCCACCCCAACCAGATGTGAACATATGTTCAACAAAAAGACAAATTCCCATCAACAGATGGATAAATAAATGTAGCATCTTCACACACAGGAAACTTATAAAGCAATGAGAATGAAAAGACCTATAGCCCCAAGCAACAGCATAAATGAATTTTGAAAAAAAACAAAAAAAAACTCTAAGCAAAAGGCGGCAGACACAAAACAATACATATTGTGTGATTTTGTTTATATAAAGTATAAAAACAGGCAAAATTAATGCATGTTGTTAAAAGTCCAGTTAGTACTTACCTTTTGGGCATCCTGGAAGAGACATGACGAGCATCCCTGGGGAGCTGCTTGTATTCTTTTCTTGAGCTGAGTTCTGTTACCACGTGAGTTCAGTTCATGAAATATGATCCAGCTCTCTATTTTTTTATTTGTGCACTTTTCTGTACATATATTATACTTCAAAACAGTTATTTTTGGGGCTAGCCGAGTGGCTCAGTTGGTTAAGAGCACGAACTCTGAGCAACAGGGTTGGGGTTTGATTTCTACATGGGCCAGTGAGCTGTGCCTGAGCTGAGCTGCTGCTGAGCTGCCAACAGGTGGCAGGATGGCTCAGCTGGTGAGAGCACGTGATCCTAACAACAAGGTTTCCGGTTTGACTACTGCGTGGGATGGTGGGCTACGCCAACCCGCAATTAAGATTGAATGCAGCACCTTAAGCTGAGAGGCTGCAAGCTGCCAATGACAACTGGACTTGGAACTGAGCTAGCTGCACCCTCCACAACTGAGATTGAAGGACAACAACATGGCTGTTCCCCAATTCCCTAATAAAATCTTTTTTTTTTTTTTTTGCTGAGCCATCCTGCCACCTGTTGGCAGCTCAGCTTGGGCCAGGAATCAAACCGGCGACCCTGTTGCTCAGAGCTCGCACTCTTGAGCGAGCTCTTAACCAACTGAGCCACTCAGCCAGCCCCCAGTAAAATCTTTAAAAACAACAACAAACAGTTATTTTTGAAAAAGAGTGAGCTAGATCTTTATATACTGACATCGATAAATTTCCAACATGCATCACTAAGTGACAAAAGCAAGATATAAAACAGTATGTACAGGGCCCGCCGAGTGGCGCATTGGTTAGGAGTTGGCTTGGGAAGCCAGCTCTGAGCAGCAGAGCCCTGGTTCAGATCCTACATGAGGGCCAGTGACGTTGCGCCCTCTACAGCTAAGATGGTGAACAACAGCTCGACCTGGAGCTGGGCTGCTATGAGTTGCCGGCGACGGCGTAGGCTGCAGTGAAGCTGCAGTGGGCTGCCACAAGCTACCATGAGTGGCTGGCAGCCAGCGTGAGCTGCCAAGAGCCTCCATGAGCGGCCGTCCTGTGGCTGGCGACCGATCTGATCACTTCACCCGGGAAGAGCACAATGATAATACCAACATGGGCCAGTGAAGCGACGTCCTCCATAACTAGACTGAAGAACAAAAGGACAGCAACTTGTCTGTTCCCCTTCCCCGATTCCCCAACGCTCCTCCTCCAATTCTCCAATAAAATCTTTTTTTTTTTTAAAGATTTTTTTATTGGGTAATTGGGGGAAGGAGAACAGACAAGTTGCTGTCATTTTGTTCTTCAGTCTAGTTGTGCAGGACGTTGCTTCACTGGCCCAAGGTG